CTCGACGGCTAATGTAAGCTAACATAGGATCAGGTTGGAAAGGAGCTAGTGGTGGTCAAACTAAAAAATAGAATCAGTCCATAACATCTATAACAGTTAGTCTGAGCCACGTAGGGAAGTGTAGACTGTCTGACTGGTTGGGGTCCTTGGGATTCTAAGTAGACAATCGGTGATATGGCTCGAAATCGTTCTCAGTGGCAGAAATGTATTCATTCTTTGTGATCCTCCACCGCCAATAGAACCCCATTGTTTCTCTATGTTACTATTCTTTCTCCCTCACATTTTTGGTTATTACGGTTCTTTTTCTCTTTTCTCTTCCGTTATGTGCTATATCGTGTGGCAACTTGAAACGCTGTTCTTCGTTGCAAAGTTCTTTTTTGAAACCAGTCAGTTAGGTCAGGACGCTGTTCCGCTGCCTAGTGAATCAGACTTTTAATTAAAAGCCGGGGAGTGGCCCCTTTAGGACGACTACCTGCTTCAGTCTGGGCAGTAAGTCTCCCAGCCCTCGGATAAATTATGAGATTTTGTGTGGTGTATCTCTTGGTGTACATTATGTATCAAGTTGTAACACTGGTCACAATATCAAAGGGGAAATAATTGAAAATTAAGGGAAAAACAAATCCTGGGTGGGAAAGAAGATATGAAAAGAAAGTGTCAACGCTACAAACACACTACACACACACCAACCAGATGGCCAAGATGGATTAACAGTGGACATAAAACATGCATAAATACAAATAGATTGTCTAAGATTATTACGAAACAGCCGAAGTTGCTATATTTTACAACACATAAACACACATCAAGAGGGACATCAATCAATAGAAAAGAAGATAGAAGTAATAAAGATACCACAAGCCAAAAATATACAAAGAGAGAAAGAAGAGAATACTGCTACAACGACATTACCCCACTTCTTTTTTTAAAACAAACAAAACATTAACTATGCTGAAAAGAGTCGTTATTTAACTGAGTTTCTACTGATATAAGTATAAAACTTGGACACTGTGGTAGAGTAAAACTCCATTATGGATAAGATTTTATTTTGATAAATCACACAGTGTTACACAGTAATATTAACTGATGACGTTTCGAGCACAAACTATTGCTCATAATCATATCAAGTTACTCATACAACTTTTTCCCTTCATTTATATACATGTGTGGAATTGACTAGATATTTTCTACTGGTTTAACTGTGAGTTCACTCTAATACGAGATCAGGGAGATTTGATGAGAAGGAAGAAATGGGTAACGTGGAATTACTGCTCTGTTTATGGAAATTTAAACAGTCAAACAGCCTTACCGAGCCTTACATTATTATTATTGTTTCCTTTAATTCCTAGAGGAACATAGGGCTTCAGCCGTGCGTCTCCATTGCGTTCGGTTCTCTGCTAGAGTCTCCACCTGACTCCAAGTCTGCCCACACGTTTTCATCTCCTCTTCACATGACCTCCTCCAAGTCACCCTCGCACTGACGACCAACTCGTCGCTTCCCTTTCGGGTTCCACTCGAGCAATGGCTTGTCTAGTGATGTCACTTGATGGTTTCCTCAGAGTATGGCCAATCCATCTCCATTTCTTCCTGCCTATTTGTTTCACAATCAGTTCCTGGTTGGTTTGCTCCCAGAGATCTCTGTTGCTGATCTTTTCTGACTAGCCATCTGATCTTGAGTATTGAGCGAAGACAACTGTTAATGAAGGTCTGTAGTTTGTTTGAGATGCTCTTTATGACGCGCAGTGCAAGTCTCTCATCCGCATAGTAGCACTGACTTCATAATAATACTTCATAATACATGTAATTTACCTCCTCTAGTACAGAAGTTATCTATTAACCTTTCATGGTATATACATAGGCGAGAAAAAAGCATTTTCCACTAATTAATATACTTTATAACAGGTTTCGAATTGATTGGTTATTTCTAAAATGATGGGGGAAATTTGTAGCTTATATGGATGTTTTCGGGATTGTTATGTTGTCTCTGAGGTGAACGGTTTAATTGTAAAGATTCCATTGGCAATTTAGATGATATTTCAGTGTTAGTTAATTAGCTCAAAAGAGGAAAGGTTATCCGTTTTTATTGGATGGGAAGTATTTTATGATTACATCTTCTACTGTTTAACTGTAGATATGTCGCCTTTCACACTTAAAAGGTTTTTTGTGATAACTACTTGGAACTTTCTTTCATCTAACATTTCTAGATTCTACCAAATGACAACCAATCATAAGAAACTCCTCTAACTGGCTGGCTGAATTCAACATAGAACTTGGCACCGAAGTGCAGCAGTTCCAGTTGCCACGTTCCAAATACCACACAAAGGTAGACAAGAAAATGAGTGAAGAGAATCAATAGACTTTTGACAAGTATAAGGGTGAAACAGAATGAGTAATGGTAGAAAGGAATATGAAAGATTACAGAGACTGAATACATCTGCGCCATTGACAACGATTTTGAGCCATGTCACCTACTGTCTCCAGCCATTGATTCTTAGAGTCCCGAGGGCCCCAACCCGGAAGTCTGCATCTCCCTCCCTACCTGACTCAGTTTAACTGTCAGGGATTTCATGGATTGGTGAGGCCATGTTTTTGTTTGGCCACCACTTACTCTTTTCCAACCTGCACCTATATCAGCTAGTAATGCCCGTCGAGAGGGGGAGGCGATGGTTAGGCATGCGCAGCACGTGACCTAGCCATCTCAATCTATGTAACTTTATAGCCTCTTCGATTGATTTTCCCTCTTTGCCCAACACTCTACACCGAACGTCAACATTACTTACCTTATTATACCAATTAACGTGAGAAAGAGATCGTAGACATCTATGATCAAAAACAGTCAACCTTTTCATGTCTTCAACTCGTATTGGCCATGTTTCAGAGCCATAGAGAGCTATATACCATGCCAGAAAGGTTGTTTGGATAGCGGTTAGACAAAAAGCAGCTACCCAATCCAAATATGCTACTGAAACACACCAAATGAAGAAACTCCTCTACAGAGAACTAAATTCCCCTTTGCAGAAGTAACTGTCACCAGCATCATCATCAAGATAAATTGTAACATACTCAAAATAAAATAGCAGCTAACGTGGCTTCAGATAATAATAATAATGATAGAAAACAGCTTGTTAGCTACAAGTGTGCACGTCAGCTAAGCTACTATATTTGCCTTTTTGTAAAAATGTTAAGGACACTAACTATACTTTCAAACTTCAAGAGGTAAAACGTGTCTCAACCTTGTGACTTATTATTTAAGTGTTATGTGCATCAAATCAACTTGGATTACACACACACTCACTCACTTCAGAAGCGACACAGTGAAACAATTAAAAGCAAACAGTCAATTACAATAAATGTAATGGAACACATATTCCAACATTCACATTGTGAAATTTGACATAATTTGACAGGACATTAGGTAAACAATGAGCATACGCATCCCGTGACACTAATATTTAATAAGAGACAATAATCAGTGAATTCAGATGTATCATGCAAAGAATAACTACATACTTGCCTTTACAATGGTTTGAAGATCCTTGTAAACCGATTGGCGACACAATAATAAGGCGAACTTGTCATGCCTATAATAGGACTAAATTAAGAAACTTAAACCTTCTAAATGTACAATTTTACGACCTCACGGTCCGCCGAAAGTTGCAATATTCAGACTGCAGGAGCTCCAGAGCTCTTCAAACCATTATGAAGGCATGTATGTAGCTATTTCTTGCTTGATATATGTGAGCTCACTAATCACATGAATAATATTAGCGTCACAGGAAAAAACTGTTTTTACTGGGTATATGCTCACTGTTTCCTCGAGTTCTGGTCAAAAGACACAAGTATAATAAGTAGTTAACTCAGTATGTACATAAATATTAAGAGTAAAGTGATTTAGCCAAACTTACGAAATTCAGTTGCGTGCCAATGAAGAATAAACCTTTCCAGCCATATGAATAAATAGCAAGAAGGGGTGATTTATGGAATACGGGGGTTCAACAGCACATCTCCATTTCATCCTATTCTCTGCAGTCCTCTTCAGCTGGCTCCACAATCGCCCATAAGCTCTCATCCCTTCTTCACACGATCTCTTCCTTGGCACCCTCGGAAGCCTGGCGGCACGTGATGCCACTCAACAGTCTTTTCAGTAAGTTCGATTCATCTCAGTATATATATTTCAGTATATTTTTGTAGGCACTTAGCAACGGATCATTCTAACTTTTCTTACTTTTGAGTCGATTCTTTGTTGTCATGATTCTGGGGGAAATCGGTTTCCGCTGCCTAAGAGCCTTCAATGATATTGGTAATATCATGATAGCTACTCCCCCAGTGTGCTCGTAGTTGTCAGCTGGGTGAGTAATCGGAGTAGATTTTTCACTCTTCACTTAACAATTTGGAGAGTCCACATCTATCCACTCACAGATTTCTAGCACTTCTATGTCATATCTTCTCCATTCGTCGTTAACTTCACCAGCATCGTTCTAACATAACACGTCTCCATGCTGATTTTTGATTTCATCGAAAAAAGACACATAAGCTGACTTGGTTTCCGAAGGTTTTCATTAAAACCCGAGTCATTTCGTCTCTCCGATTCCTGCGAAGAACAAATTTTCAAAAGAAATATTTTTTTGCTGTACTCTGAGGTTTCTGTAGCGACTGGGTTGATTTTCCGGGGTCCGGTTGCTACCCCCACGTTTACCCCCTCCTCTTTTTTCGGGCTTACCAGCGGCGAAAGCTTCTCATAGGCAAACGGGTTTCATGTTTGTTTGTTTTTTAAATGCGCTCTCTTATTGTTTCCATAGTTACCACTTTGTAATTTATAATCCAGTTTACCACTGTTTTCGACTCGCCTTTTTATACTACATATATAAACACTCGTTGTGCACAAGTAAACAACATGATAATAATAGTCTGTGAAATGAGTTACAAAACGCTTGTCGTTTTAAAAAGAAACACCCCCGGGAGAAATGAATCGCTTAGAAACTTGGTAAATCATTCTTACTTACTAGGCCTAAAATTACAGTGTCAGCACCGTGAAGAGCTGCAACAGAACTACTTCGGTGACCTGCTTGATGCGCTCGAAAGAATTCAATCAGTTCAGCTTCCTAAAAATGAAGAAAAAGAAGAAGAAACAAGCATAATTACATAACACTTGTAAAGTGATATTTCAAGGCTGTCTAAATGCATTAATAATAACGACGACGAAACAGATTAAACATTAAGTTCAAAAGGTCAGATCAGGTCACCAAGTCGCTAAGGTATCTGCCTATAAAGAGAGCTGAAATCCTTAGCAGAGAAAAAATAGTACAAACTATATTACACAGTAACCCTCACCTATTTTTAGCGCCAACAACATAAACGCTTTAAAGACTTCCTGTTCTATACATAAGCCAAATATCCACGAGTGAACAGAATTTCATGTTAATTGGTCTAAATAGGCATTATACACATTGAGACAGTATCACTTTGTGGATAAGGTTTCGAATAAAAATCTTCTTATTCATAGTCACCTTAAATTCATCTCTAAAACGTTGATTTGCAGAGTTTCAAGTACTGTATGAAGCTATCTACTACTGACTAACCGAGATAAGTAGTTGTATACCGCTCAGACACACTAGTAGTATAATAGCGAAAGGCAAGACACGGAAGCCAAGATATATTTTCAAGTGATCAAACAGCTATTTATATATATACACACTTTTATATTCTTTAACTAATCACTGAGTGTGTGATTTTGATTTACATTAAACAACATGAAATAGAATGTTCAGAGATATATAGCATTCTGCTGCTAATGCAGTAGTCAACTGCAGGAAAACTACTCTGTCTCTAACAGCAAATAGAATGTCTAAATATATATAGCAGCAGAAGGGAAGACACGGAAGCTAAGGTATATTTTTAAGTGATTAAACATCTGTTTATATCTAAACAGTTTATATTCGTTAACCAATCAATCACTGAGCGTGTAATTTTGGCTTACATTAAACGACATGAAATTGAATGTTCAAGTACATGTATAGCATTCTGTGGAGTATTGAACTGCGGGAAAAGTATTCTGACTCTGGCAACAAACGGAAAGTTCAAATCTATGTAGTATTCTGTTGCTAATGCACTATTGAATTCTGGGAATAGTATTCAAACGTTAACACCCTATAAATACAATGATTCTTATTGTGAGAATAATATTCCGTTGGAACCCACTGTCTGTATCACACCATCACAGTAGGATTTCCTAGCTAGATCCAATTGATCTAAACACCATACGGTCAACTTGTTTTTGGTATCTTGACTACCATCTATGATGTCAAGCTGATCGTTTATTGTGATCTGAAACTATGGCGAAATTTCCCCCCTTGAATTGTGCTAAATGCTACCTAGTTTGTAAATTGTGAGTTTAATTCATGGTGTGGTGAGAGATGGTTGCTAGACAAATTGGTTGACAGTAATTGAGGTCAATGTTATTCATATGAAAACGAGGTCAAGATGGACAGGCAGATACAGTTAGCATATGGATGATCTGACACAGCCACAAAGAGATGCAAGGTTAACTTTCTGTGAGAAACAACCATTCAAAAGACTATTTTCTACTAACATTAACCTACAATAATGTACATTAAAATCTATAAATATGTGTTGATTTTCCGTAATAAACGTTCTGTTGCCTGGCCCTTGTCTTCTGTTGTTACAATGGTAACGCCAGTTCACCCAAGTGTAGCTAACCAGAAATTGGGTGATTTGAACAGAGTCTAACCGGGTACACCACACTGATGAGCTCGACCCCGAATGAGAGAAACGGCCGTCCGGTGTTTAGATCACCTTAGTCTGGCTGAGGTTGTGAGTGTTGGTAAACAGCATCTCGTCTCAATCAATCAGTGGTATGTAATTTTATGCATTTATACACTTGCCTTTTTTGACTACCATTCATGGTATAAAGTAGATTACATACTGTGATCTGAATAATCTCGGTTTCAAGTATTTGCTTTACTTAAGAATTTGAATATGAAGATTAATTCAGGTATCTCTGAGGTAGATGTGGAAAGGCTTCATCTGTTTAAACTCTGCGATTACCTTGATCAGGTATATTTAAGACTGTCATATCCTGTTTTTCAATTTCGTATGATTGCATACATTGCTACACTGAGTCAATTCTCTAGGTTTCTTGTCATGGTGTCTATGGGATCCAGGAATATATAACTGGTTCCATTCGACACTCACCACCTGGATGTGAGTGACGATATCCTGACTGAAGCAGGAAAGGATTATTTACTAGCTGATGACATCTAGTTTTTGTGTAGCCAGTGGAATTTTCGTTATTTTCTAATGCACATAATAGACTCCAGTGCTAGTTCACCACTGAATAAATAACACCAAGATGGACAAAAGGCGTTGCTTAAGCATGAGTTTGAGGAGTTCCTCCTACAATGTCTAGTAAAATCTACAAAATATTCTGCGTATAGACACAGTTTCTTATGTACCTCTAGGCAAGTGTATCAAGATAGAAACATGGATACACAAATGTAGCTGGGGTACTAGAATATCATAGTTATCCTTAGTGTTTAAATGTTAAAAATTGTTTAGTCCCAGAAACAGAAGCAATTTAAGGGATAAGAAATAGGTAAAAAAGAAGCACAGTTCTTCATCGAAGACTATTAAATCATTAATGTTTTTTGCATTAATTTAGAAATATTCTTAGCTGTGAAAATATTTAGCATTAACGATCCTCTAGCTTCTGGAGCTATGACATCGACCTTCTAAGTGAACTTTTGGTTCACATTATGCTCTGCCGATGGATTTCAAGAAATAAATTGATGCTAAACAGTTGAAGGTGGTATACAGCGGAAGTTCAAGAACTAGGTTCCCTGTTTATTGACCACTCATCACGAATGTGTATTCGCCTATCGAATTTGTGTCACCGGCTGGCGCTGCGGTTACCAACGTTGCCACTGAACTAACCGGATTGTGACTAACGTTTTGTATGTCTGTAATGAAAATACACTGAATAAACAATGTCATACATCCAGTCCTTAATGCTGGCAGGACTAAATTCTTTCCCAATAAATTTGGAGGATAACTCTTAAAAATATGTACGTTTGTTTTTCATCAACCACATGTGCATCGTTTTTTCCCCTTTCATACAGAAAAAACACAAGGGAAAAACCGATTTATTCTTGTTTTAATTCAAAAATTCCCTCCGTGTTCGACTAGTATCAAAATATCGGGGAATTGGTCTATTCAAACAAATTTATGAGAATGAAGAAAATAAAAAAAATCTTGTTATGTGTACTTGAAAATTTAACTTGCGTCACAGTGCGCGTTTGTATGTTTATGTTCACGAAACGAGGAAGAAACACAAATAGGATCAAGGATGACAGCATGTACAACCTATTCTGTCTGTCTGTCTCTTTCTCGCGCGCGCGCGCTCATAACACGTGAACAGATACCTAAGTCAATCTATGATCTTTCAGATAAAATGAAGTCAAAATGTAAACAGCAGACACACGTAAACCAATAAACAGTTCTTACTATTATACAGATGTGTTACGATCAGATAATAATAATAATGTTAACATTTATTTATTTATTACAGCTTGACTCCAAACAGTATTTTAGTACTTCTATGAAATTTTCAGAATGTGATATCGGTAGCCCAAATTTAGCAGACCAACCATTGATATCGGAAGTGTGTTGGCCGGGGATCCAATCCGGACCGTGTGCATGGTCGGCGAGCATCCTAACCAATGTGCCACCGACGCACACGATAGATAAATCACCTGGCCTTTATGATTAATTAATAAATGTTTTGAGCGAAGAATTGTCTGCGATAGCTTCTTCTACTTCTACTTCTTCAGGCTCTACAATTATCAATCCATGAATATTAGAATGCACAAATAGCCGGTAAAAAGGCAAGTAGTGTCATTTTATCTCATCTAGCAGATAGTGGATACCACGTCAAAATAGATGAGCCATTTACGGTTGTATATCGAGTACCAAACAATCTGACTAAAGGCACACAATTACGTCTCCTAACTATAACTGGAGCTATAGAGATTAATGAGAAACAAACCTGACCTGTGTGTAAAAAAAAGCACATTCATCCTGTTTGTTTACTCTAGCCACCAGAGACATAATCATTTCATATTTCCATGTCATATTATGCCTTTCTTATTCCTTTTCATCCAGTTTACTTCACTCCGTTACTATCCTTAATTATTATGTGTCAACCTTTGTAATTTACACTAAGCTTATCATGTCTCTAGTATTTTATTACAGTTCATAATTTAACCTCTTTATTTTATCACTATACTTGATATATGCAAGCCCTTGCTTGAACTTACTACATTCAGTGTAAACCATTTGTTTTTGGTATGTGCTTGTAACTGTAGAGTCTGAAGAAGAAGTTATCGAAAATAGTTGTTCTGATGACATTATGGGGATTTTTAATTTACTGGAATAAATGTTAAACATAATTTCAGTATAGATTTTGTCCGGAAACGATATCAATTGCGACAATCAGTGATAACCAAGGAGTACCCGGCAACCGTTTCATCTTGGTTTATGAATCTTCATCAGTGAGCAGCCACAACTCCAGCAGAGATCTCTAATCAAAAACCTCACAAGATTATGCAGGCGATCGTCCATCGCCCATTCAGTCACAAAGGTTGAAACTTTTGTCAATTGCCACCGACATAGCGTCACCGCAAACCAATCTCATGTCTGTAACTGATATCGCTTTACGACGAAATCTACATTGACGGTTAGTAAAGTGTTACATGACATTTTTTTATAGCTTTACGTTCCCAGCGGAGCATAGGACTTCAAGCTAGAGGCTTGAAGTTTCGGTAGCAATGGAATTTAATTTTTAAGGGATGGGGTTGCTAACCTCATGTCCAACCTTCCCTCTTTACCAATCTTATTACTGACTTAGCGAGGTAAAGGAGTGCGTCGGCCGGGAATCGAACCCCAAATCAAATGCGTGGTTGGTTAGTGAGCATTCTACTGCCGTGCCACTGACTAACAATTCACTATTCCTACTATTTGAATATGTAAACTGTTTGACTGAATAACTTATTGTTATGAAAACCATTTTTTTATATGTAAGTGATTT